ACGCTGAGCCTGCGCCTCTGCCCTGACCGCCAGCGGGCTGACGGGAGGGCACCCACCCCTCCGGTCCGGGCCCTGCGTCTCCCACCCCACCTCACCTCCTGCCTTTGATCCCCACCAACCTGCCTTCTCTCCTGTCTGAGGAGACGCTGTTCTGGGGTCCTGGAGACGCCCTGAGTCTCCAACATCATCCCCACCCCATCTTGTTCTTTAGTCTTCGGCCACTGTCCCCCACCAGCATGTCCACTGGCCGTGTCCCTCCCATCTTATAAAAACCTTCCTTTAACCCCTCAGCCCCAGGCACAGTTCCTAAAAGACTCTCTCCACCCCCTCCCTCCCTCGTTAGTTGCCTGTCACCCTCTTATCCAGCCTCCCTCCCCGAGAGCCTTTGAAAGGGCTCCCCCCAAGGTCACCAGTCCCTTCGCTGATAAGCCCCACGGATGCCTCCAGGCCTTATCTCGCTCCATTTCCGCGCAGCTCTGAGCAGACACCTTCCTCGGAAGGCACCTCCCTCCCTTGCGCGTGCAGACGGCGCATCCCCGGGGCCCCCCCCCGCCCCTCCCGGGGGGGGGGGGGGGGCTTCCTTCCTCAGCTTCCTACTGTGGCCTCTCCAACACCCACCTCCACCCAGGACCTGGCTGGGGCTCCAGAGCCACCTCAGGTCTCCACCCGGACGGTCCCAGGCACGGGGCCCTCGCTGGTCTATCTCCCCTCGTGCGCCTGAGCCTGAATCCCTGTCTGGATCCCACCACCTTCTTTCTCATCTTTGAAACCCGTTTCAATCTGTGTCCTGTCGAGTCTACCTTAACGTCTCTGGGATGCGTGCACTTTGAGTCTCCTGCCTGCGCTGGGTACCCCCACCCCCGCACTGTCCTTGCACTCCTACAGCCCCCACCCCCGGCCCCCCGACAGGGGGGGGTTTTGCTATGACTGTCACCTGTGAGGCCCGCCATCCCCCTGCCTCACCGTGAGTCTGCTCCCTCCTCCCCCAACACGTGCCTCGGCTCCTGAACCGCTGTTTGCTCTTCCCAGAGGCGGGGCTGTCTCTCTCCTTTGCACGGGCTGCCCGCTCTCTCCTGGGGCCTGGGTAGCCCCCCTCATCCTCAGGACTTCGCCCACACCCACTCTCCCCAGAGGCTTGTACTTCCTGGCACGTCACCGCCTGTGAAACCCATTGCTTCTGCTTTGCCGTTGGCTCCGTGAGGGTGGAAAGGTGGCCACTGGCTTCAGAGCTCAGCTCCGAGCCCTGGATCATGCTGGAACTATAACGTGTGCCCAAATGATGGTTAAAGAACGGAGGGTGTTCCCGAAAGTCAAACAGTTTCAAAATACACGTGAGACCCAGGCGAGAGTCCCACACGGCCCGGAACAGCAGGAGGGGAACGATGGTGCCCTGGGAAGAGTTTATTCGGGAGGAAACCAGAACCCGGCGGCTCCTCTCACATCCACAGCGGCGCGCAGCATTGCTCATTGTGCTTCTCAGACCCCGCCCCCCAGGCACTGACAAGGGGGTGAGGGCCAGGGCAGGGCAGACCCCCCCAGGCACTGACAAGGGGGTGAGGACAGGGGTCTGGGCCCCTGAGCACAGCGGGCGCCTGGGGCAGCCTTACCTTCATGTTGTCAGGGGGGTCTCCTTGGCCTGTAGTTGCACAAACAAATATCACCAGGGGCTCATTAATCAGATTCACCTCAACAAAAAGACACACGTGTAAGACCTCAGGTCGCAGTGACCAGGCAGCCCTCCCGGGCCCGGGGTGGGACAGGCAGGGCAGCCCTTGCCCCCGCTTCACGGCTCTCCCCCCGGCGCCATGGCTTCCTGGCACGGCACTGCCGGCCAAGCCTGCAGCTTCTGCTTGTGGTGGCTCCGTGGTGGAAAGGTGGCCTCTGGCCTCACAGCTCAGCCCCTAGCCCTGGACCGTGCCCTGGAGGCGGGG